TGATCTTCTCGATTCCTCTCTGTACAGTTATACTTCCGGATCATAACTGGCAGTACTCTTCTAATTACACAGATCGATCAACATATTCAGAATGCCCTAATTGCTGCTCATCGGTGACCCTTTCATCGAGTCATAGGACCAAGTGTAAGGGGATATGATATCTAGGCAGTTAGCGAAGCTGTCATTCTTATACTAGATTGTCTCTTCTCTGAGAGGGTAGGTCCAACTCATCCGTTGCGCACGAGAAACGCACCATGCCGGTAAAATGGGATATAGTGGCTTCACTGGCGAAGCGCATCATTATTCCTACGACAGCCTCTACCACCCCAGCTGAAGTCGCAGAGCGTCAACGAGACCCATGGTCTCAATCGGGCAAATATGGCCAGGGTTGGATCTACTTCTCCGTTGTCCTACTCGCTCTTGCAACCATAATTCGGTTCTACCATGTTTGGAGCGATAAAATGAGAATCGCATTGTACAAGGAAGATCTGGCGGACGCACCGCAGGGCAATTCTCCCCAGGACGAGTACGAGCTTTCAAGTGCCGCCACCGACAGTTCCACTGCACAATTCTTTCCAGCGCGTGGCCCTCTACCCGGGGTCAAGAAACAGCAGTCGTCGATCTCAACCATCGCTCCGTTGAATAATACAGTTGCCTTCTTGCGATGGATATCCTACCGGCCTCTCCCGGTGCTGCGGATTGGGAACCTGCGCATCGTCTTCCCGTCGCTGGGAGCTTCTGCTGTCGTGCTCGCAGCGTTGGTCTTCGTGACGCTCTATTCTTTCGTACCACAGCCGCTGTACTACTCATCTATTACGATTGGATCTCCACCGTTGGCCATTCGCGCCGGCATGATCGCCGTAGCCATGGTGCCTTGGGTTGTCGCACTCAGTACCAGGGCAAATTTCATCAGCATGCTCACTGGTTTCGGCCATGAACGGCTTAACGTGCTCCATCGCTGGGCAGGCTACCTGTGTCTGTTCTTGAGTTTGGTACACACAATTCCATTCTTCGTCACGCCGATCTGGGAGGATGGGGCCCTCATATGGTACCAACAATACCTTCCGCGCCACGTATGGGTCTACGGGACAGGCCTGGCTGCGCTGGTGCCGCTGGTATTCTTATGTATCCATTCACTTCCCGCACTTCGAAGACGGATGTACGAGCTCTTCCTGTTCATCCACCTGCCCGTCTCGGTCGTTTTTGTTGCCATGCTTTTCTGGCACTGCAAGAACTTTTTGGCGTCGTGGAACTATCTGTGGGCAACCGTCGCCATCTGGATCATGTCGTATGCTGTGCGACTCTTTTATCTCAACTGGACGAGCCCTTTTCGCATGTCTTTCATGATAGGAGAAGAGTCAGCAGTGACCATCCTCCCTCATAATGCCATCAAGGTGACCGTTGCTACCAGGATGCGATGGAAACCAGGCCAATATGTGTACCTTCGCATGCCCGGAATTTCCCTTCTCGGTCGACATCCTTTCACGATTGCGTCCTTATGCAGTGATGACTTTCCGTCAGCGTACGGGGAGGACTACCGCGACCTGGCCCTCGTCTTCCGTCCGTTTGGCGGCTTCACACGAAAGGTCTTGCTGAAGGCCTTTGAGCGCGGGCCGTACAAGACGTGGACAGCGTTCCTAGAAGGTCCCTACGGAGGAATGCGGCGGGAGATGGCCGCCTTCGACGACGTGATCTTCGTCGCTGGCGGAAGTGGCATCACGGCGATTGCGAGCCAACTGTTGGATTTGATCAAGAAGATGCGTGACGGGAAAGCCGTCACGAAGCGGGTCCGCGTAATCTGGGCCCTGAGAAGCCCAGAGGCCATCGAGTGGTTCCGAGAAGAATTGCGAATCTGCAGAGAACACGCGCCCCCAAACACGGTGCACTGCCACTTCTTCCTGACGGGACCGACGCAGGACGGCTCCCGGGAGCAGCCTTGCTGTGACGTCGTCCAGGAAAAGATATACAACATGCTTTCCGGCATGGATAAGCGGAACTCGGCATACATCCGCGAAGAAGCGGCCGGTGATCTCGAGCGCGAGAAGGAGCTCCGTCGCGAAAATGAAGACGCCATCACTTCCTTGCCCCGAATCTACACCTCTCCCGTCATCGGCAGTCGGCAATTCACGGCATTGCCCGGCTTGCAAACCGGCCCTGCCAATGTTCCATTTGACTTTGGCTTTTCGGACGCCCCTTCTCCACCGCAGAAATCGACGCCTCGATTTGCATCACTTCCCTTGCAGAGGCGGGATGGCTGGCGAATTGATCATGTCCGACCAGATATCCCGCGCATGCTTACGGAATATTCGCAGACATTTGGCCGTCGGACATGCGTGTTTGTCTGCGGGCCTCCGAGCATGCGAATCGAGGTCACAAAAACCGTGGCGCGGCTCCAGCAGCAGGTGATGATGGATTCTCGTAGAGATGAAATCTTCCTGCATGCGGAGAACTACAATATATGACGAGATGGGACGAGAGGAGTTAATGACTGTAATTAGCAAAGTACTCCGCTGTACGCAGCGAAGTTGATATCCGTGTTTTGTTCTTGTGTTTGCGACGCATCTCTCAGACATCGCGCTGTTCGAGTCGTTCTTGTACATTCATTCTGATATAGTTGCGTTCATTTGTAAATACAGCTCTTCATGAACATGAAATATAAGGCTCTGTACAGCGGCTCAGGCGTGAACTCGATGCGAGATATTTACTTCTAAGCACAAATGTCAATCTAGAGCGTGTGCAACCAATGTCTGTGCCTGCGTCTATAGCTCGGTCAAAACAGTCTCTCATAAAAGGAGGGTATCCAGGGCGGCAAAACAAATGCTGAACATATCGACAGATAATCACGCAATGAAAGCACTGAAGAGACTTCCCAAAAGCAACGCGTCGGATCACTGTCTCTGGGGCTCATCGTCCGCCTTCCGTTTTCTTGGGGGTCCATCAACTTCCTCCAGGATACTGGACTCCGTAAATTGCTGGACTCCATGGGCATCCGGGTCATCGCTATCCTCGGCCTCGATTTTCTCCCAGTCCTCATCTTCGTCCTGGCCCTTGGCATCATTTTGGACCGGCCGAGGCTGCTCTGCGCCGCTCAGAGGGGCTCCGTCTGCGTCACCATCATCATCACTCCACCGCAGAACCAGTTTGACGATCTTCGCCCCAGAAGGCTTCAGTCGGCGGTAGTAGTTCTCCACCAGGCCCTCTTCTACCTGGAATCCTCGAGCAATGTACCATCTCAGGCCCTCCTCGTTGGCTTCATGGACGTGCGCCGTGACAGTGCGGATGTTGTAATGTTTCACCAGCTCTGATACGTTATAAGAAGAAAAGGATGAGGAAGAAGATGAAGTCGAAGGCGACGGCGGAGAAGCGAAGAGAATAGAATTTAGCAAGGAGGTCGCAACCCCACAGCCTCGATACGGGGAGAGCAGATGGAGAGTCTGGATGTAGAGATTCGTTGGCTCCGGCTTCTGCGACCGAGAACTCGTTTCGGGCACTACGGCCAGGCGTTCAAGTCGGCATCTGATACCGCCAATAACTTTGTCTGTTCCTGTGTTTGCGCCTAGGCTCGACGCGGCGGGTGACGGGGCGGGTGACGGTGCCGCGGCTACGGGGTGATCATGGTAGATCGCGACGCGCGAAACCGATGCGATGACGGGGTCGGTGATTGTTGCCGTGTAGAATGAGTTGGGATAGCGGATGGGTAGGAGGAGACCCGTAATACGAGCCAACGAGGGGATATGCGCGGTGCTGACTGGGTCGATGGTAATGTGGGGATGGGGTGTCTGGCAGCCTGGGGAGATGGCATGAGGATACGCGGGAGGTTGGAACGAGGGAGCCCTCGCCGCTGGCGGTTTGAGACGCGACGCAATATTTGGTGTAGCAGACGAACTCGAGGACTGTAGAAGAACTAGCGAGGGAGGCTGCATTGGAGGTCTGCTGTGCCTGGGGGAGGGGGAAGACGCGAGAGGGGAGAGGGGTGGAGAAGTGGGAGCTTTGCTGGACTGATGCGCCTTTGCGAAGAACTGATATGCCATGGCTGAGAAGAAGTCAAGGAATACTTGCGGTAGTAGAACAAGCAGTCATGAGGAGCAGAAACCGGAAAGCAGGAATCACACTTGGACAAAAAAGATGGACGCAAACAGCAGTGCTGGGACTTGCAACTGTTGAGTGCTGTAACACTGGAACCGCGCGGAGATGCGATAAGATAAGATCGACTTTAGCCGGTCGGCGGAGACTTGCGAGAGCCTGAGGAGACACTGAGACTGAGATTTGTCCTTCTAAGAGTGACGAGCCAGCCTCCAGCTTTTACAGAAGGTGTTGCTCTCGCTGGTGGAGGTGTTATATCTTGTGTTTCTCTTGTCGATCCATCAGCTATTCATGCAGTCATTCTACTCACGAGTGTGAGGTAAGTGGTCATTTCCCCGTCCGAGTCTTGTGGCGCGACCTGTTCCGTCAACTGACGGGTCTCCCTGCCTTTGGCGTTCCGCCTCCACAGCACGAGTATTGTTCAGTTGGCCATTCTTCATTACTCCCTCCGAATGTCCTCATCTGGTCAATAATACAAATGGACAATAGCGGTTGTTTATATCGTGCTGCTCTTTCTTGAGTCCCCACTCGCAATCGTCCAACTCGACCCGACCTCTATCCGCTTGGGGTATGTATCGCTTCAACAATCCACATCTATTCGGCGCATTGTCATACTCGATCGCATTGACGACTCAGAGATTACAATAGGCGATACATGGAATTGCTTTCTATTCAGAGAAGTTCTTCCATCAACGTGTGGGTCGGTCACAACACATTGCTGGGAAGAGGTGTCGTAACAATACGCTATTGAGGTTAGTTGTGTTCGAACCTCTGCCTGCTTCTGGTCGTTCTATATATTGGACCAGCTTTACTTCCATGTTCCGTCGACCTGTCTCGCTTCATTGCGTTCCTGCGTTTTGGTTCTCCGTCATCGCTGTGATCCTACTTTTATACCATCTCCGGATCTCTACGCAAACATGGCTACAGAGCTTATCCCAGATTTGGTCCTTGCTTCTGACAACTCTGAAACAGAAGGTCACTTGGCCAAAATGGGTGATTCGAAGGGAACGGAGGCCCAGGGGGCCTCTCCGCCTTCAGGAACCATCGCGAAGTTGGTAAGCTGGCTCCAGTCTCCCGAGCATGATGCCTCGGAGTGTATTAGCTGACCAGGTCAGACCTGCGACATTCTCAATGAGACATTCTACAACATCATCCATGATATCGTTGCTCAAGTTCATCGCGATGAGAAAGTCGCTCGCATGCGCTCCGCGGTGGTCGTTGCCAGACAGAAAGCCGAAGATGAAGTAGCCAGGCGTCGTGAAGATGCAGGTGGCAAGGCTACGGGATCCGTGGATTCAGAAGACCTCAAGGACATCCGAGTAGAAACAGATGGTGCGGTGTTCGAGGACGGCAAGGTCTTTCTCAAAGGCAATCCTCTCCAGACAACAAAGGAGATTATCTGTCCCGATTGTCGCTTGCCGCGTCTGCTATATCCAGTAACTGGAGTCGGTGCTCGTCCACCTCCAGATCCGTATCGCGAATACTGTCAGAATCAGCCATTGATCACAAAACCTGGGCACGATGTGCACGGGAATCCCTTCGCTACGGACAAATTGAACCCAAAGAAGAAAAAGCAGACCAACACTTCCAACACTCCCGCGTCCAGTCCTCCGACCACTCCTGATAGCTCTTTCAAGCAGGCCACCCAGGTGTCATATCCCACCGTGAAATGTCCCAACTGTCCGAGGTACTTTGTGGTGACGCGAGTTGCTCAGCATCTGGACCGTTGCATGGGTTTATCAGGTCGACAGACCAATCGTAACAAGACGCCCATGGAGAATGGCAACGGGTCTCCTAGCACCGGACCTCCGAAGCGTCCACTGGCTGACGATGACGCACCACCGACTCTGACGAAGAAGAAGAAGCTCAACACCCACAAAAAGCTATCTGGAAAGAAACCACCCCTGCCTCCAAGCAGCAAACTGAGAAACGGTCTGACCCCTGATATGGCTGCAGCCGCGGATGCGGCGGCCTCTGGAGATGTTGACATCAAACGTGAAGCCAAAGACAACGCATGAACTTATCATCCTGTCTGGCCACCTTGACCTTGCTTTTTTCCTGGTTTCTGCAAGGTCACTTACTTTGAGGATGAACCCTCTGGACATAGTTTCCATCCGAAGTTTTATTTCCCTTTGTCCTTAACGATATTGACGTAAATATTGGGCATCAGAAGGCGTCAACAGGAACCTGCTCTGATACTTTAAACATGTCTGGCTGAACGTTTTGGGACATATTTGGCCCCTTTTTCTTTCTCTTTTCCCTTGCTTTCTTCTGTCGCATTTGTGGCTTCTTACTCTGGGATATGTGTTTTTCTTTGCTTGTCCGACCAGTTAGTTGTTGGCATAGACGATGGAGCACTGATATGTACAATAGCCTGGCAACACCAGCCAGCTCCTCGATAGCGCCTGCATGGAACATTGCTTGTGATTTTATCGAGTGACCTCTTCGAGTAGTTGACTCATCCGAGTCATAAATAGAGACGCCGGCTTTTTACATCCTAATCATAACATTTGTGCAACCACCAACTGTGGAGTCTAGAATCAGCTCCAAGCTGAAGCGGATATTGCCGCAAGACGTGCGGACCCGCAGAAACCCACCGACGATGCGCTTATCGAGTCTCGTCATACCTCGCCTCATTTTTGACCGTTCTGTCTTATTGGCATGAAGGTACACGAGTCACTCACTTTTTTTCAATAACCTCTGTCTGAGCTTATCCACCGAGTCCGCGCGCAGAACATGAGTAACGCAAACCTCGTCGCGTGGGCAGTTCCTCGCCTGGCCCAGCTTTTACCACTGGACGAGGAGTCCTTGACACAGATTATCACTTACTCTGCCGGCCTTCCAAAGGAAGAAGGTGCCGAGCATCTCAAAAATCTCCTCGGCGACTCCCCGGCAGCCTTCGAATTCATCGCCTCCTTCAGCGCCCGACGAGACCAAAACCAAACCCAACCCACAGTACCATCGCCAGCTCGAGGCGGGGAAGAGCAATCCGCAGCGGCCGACGCATACACCACTGACAATGTGAATCCCGGGACAAGAGCCGGAGCCAAGAGGGGCAAAAAATCCAAAGCGCCTCTTCACCGCGCGGGGCCCGTACGCAGGCCTGAGAATTTCGGGAATGTGGCGGGAGGTTATAGGAAGGAGGATCAGGACGAGGATTACATGTCAGCTGCGCCGGCTCGGCAGGCGAGACAGGATACAGCTGCTTTACGGTCAAAAGGTTCAGCTTCTTCGCTACAGGTTCCGCAGCAGCAGAACGCGTTGTCGTCGCTTGACTCGTCCGCCGCGTCGTCACGTACCCAATCCCCCGCGCCGCGGTCGTCGGGTACTCCTAAGAACCCACCGTCCGCATCGGGACCGGTGCTATCAGATCTCCTGCCCAACGTCAAGTCGAAAGCTGCCAAGTCATCTTCCCGACAACACGGAGGCGGAAGCTCAGCCACCGGAGGCTCATCTAAAGCATCGCTTACAACGAACAACATCTCCGACCTGACGGCCGCGATTGCCGCTCTCGAAGTCTCTACGAATCCGACCTTAGGCGGTGGCCGGCAAAAATGCAGTTGCTACGCTACAATCCACGCGCTCTTTGAACCGGCCCCGAACTGCCTGAACTGCGGCAAGATCATCTGCTCCCTCGAAGGTCTCCAGCCATGCTCATTCTGCGGGACGCCGCTCCTATCAAACGATGAAGTACAGAGTATGATCCGGGAGCTGCGCGCGGAGCGCGGACAGGAGAAGATGCGGGCTCACAATGAAAGCGTCCACCGGGAGGGTGGGCCAGGCCCAACTCCCGTGGGAAACAGCAAGCTTGACGCCGCCAAGGCGCACCGTGATAAGCTACTTCAGTTCCAGGCGCAGAACGCCAAACGCACGCGGGTCGTGGATGAGGCTGCGGATTTCGAAACGCCGAATGTTGCGTCTACGCTGTGGATGAGCCCGGCCCAGCGGGCGTTGGCGCTGAAGAAGCAGCAGCGGATACTCCGGGAGATGGAGGAACAGGCGCGGCCGGAGTGGGAGAAGAAGAAGACCATCATGAGTTTGGATATCAAGGGCGGTCGCGTGACTCGAGTGTATCAGTCTGCCGCGCCTGCGGAGTCGAGCTCAGCCGCAGAGGAGAAAGATGAGGACGGCGAAGATGTTTCGCACGAGGAGTCGAAACCTAGTGGCGGTGAAGCTTTCAGTCGGAACCCACTACTTGCAGCTGGCGGGCTGCTACGACCCGTTTGGAAGGCTGCGGGAGACAAGCAGGCAGAAGGGGTGAGTACAAAAGAACGCAAGCAGGCATGGCGGCGCGTCCAGGACGACAATGGTGACAATGAACAATGGATTCTCGATGGTGGCCTGCACGGCTATACCACTTAGCTTCTGAATATCACCCTATGAATCCATTGGAACCAAATTCTCTTCTGCACGGCAGAAAATGGGCACGCCTCGAACTGCTGCACATTGGCAGATACTGCGCACACATTTTCCATTAAGTACATTGCCAATCCTCAGCCGATAGCGGCGATTTGGCGGCTCCCAGTATAAAGTGCGACATTGCCGCCGATTTCTATGTAGCGGTGCGGTATACTGATGGAGTAGTGTTGCATGAATTCTCCGCGCCTATTATTGCCAAATACCCGCATTTGCTCCGCGGTCCACTTCAGTGGGCGCTGAAGGTCTTCTATAGCCCAGCTGAGGTCGGATATCAACGGTTGTCTTCAGAATGAGTAGTGGATACAGTCTCCTCAAGCCGAGTTACTTCGGGCAGGAGATATAGTGCACCATCAAATGGTCTGAGATTACTGTCGGCATCAGGTTGACAAGATCAATAGAAGCATATTCTCGCATGGTAGATACGAATGCACCCATATCCCTGAATCTCCGTACATTGTATACTTAAGCTTAAATCAGCGGGTGTCGCTGTCTCTACATACTGTACAAACAGCAGTCAACGAAAAGAACACATAATCTCCCCCCGTCCCCCTGCTATAAATATCGAAGATACTCGTTGGTAATAATCCGATGCTACTTACTCTTATCATTGTCAGCAGTCCGCAAACGATGACCGCATGGACAGCGGAAGTACGCCCGCATCTAACCGAGCCAGCATAAGATATAAAGACCCTTCGGCTGTTAATTTTGAGAGACCATACGCACTCAGTGGAATACTACCTCTACCTTGGTCGATTCCCCATTTCATCATTGCTTCTAGCTCCTTCATCTTTGCGGGGAAAGTGGGAAGATTATTGGAGTGAGACCTGCCTCGGTTGAGCTCGGCTAGCATCGGGGTCGCATTTGTCGGCATCATCATTCATCATTGTTTCATCTGCTGCTTGGAAATCATGCTAGTTCAACCATTATTGGAGAATTTGTCAGTCTGGGGGGCGGTGCAAGGGCTTTTGTTTGTCCTTGGGGGTTTGGTAAGTCATTTACCTTTTGGCGCCGGATTCGATATTCATGCTATGCTATGATCATGGGTTACCAGTGCTGATATTCTCGGGCGCAGACAGTAGCATATATCACGTACAATCGATTCTTCCACCCGTTGCGCTCGATTCCCGGGCCCTTCCTCGCTTCCATAACCCCCTGGGTACAACTCTACCACGGCCTGAAAGGCGACCGACACCTATGGCTTCACCGTCTACATGAGAAATACGGATCCCATGTCCGCGCGGCACCCAACTTCGTCTCCATCAACACGGACCGCGGCCTGCACGACATCTACGGCCATGGCAAGCGGCTCCGCAAGGCCAATTTCTACAATGCCTTCCCCGCCATCAAGGGCGTGTACAACACGCACAACGCGATCGACAAGGCGATGCACGGGCGCAAGAGGCGCGTGCTCAGCCAGGCTTTCTCGGACCAGGCGCTGAAGAGCATGGAGGATGTGATGCTGCTGCATGTGCGGCAGCTCTGTGAAATTCTGAGCGGTGGGCTCGAAGGAAAGGGCGAGAAGAGCGCGACGGCCGTTTTCAACATCGGAGATTGGTTTAGCTATCTGACGTATGACGTGATGGGGGAGCTCTGCTTTGGGAAGAGCTTTGACATGCTGGTTTCGAGCGGACGGCGGAAAATGATCGAGCTTGTGGATCGCGCTGCCAACCGGCACTATGTGGTATGGCCCTTGTTTTCTCTCCTGGTATTGACAGACACTGACGAAGTCAAAGTGCGGATTGTGGATGCCCCTCGACACCTGGCACCTGGACCAGATCTTCATCCACAAGTTGACCAACGACCGCTGGAACTTCATCATGAACTCCCGAGTCGAAGCGAACGAGCGGGCCAAGGAACGGACGCAGGCCGGCCACGAGGCCAAAAAGGACTTCTTCTACTACCTGCTCAACGCCAAGGATCCCGAAACCGGCAAGGGGCTGACGACGCCCGAGCTCTGGGGCGAGGCGAACGTCCTGATGATCGCCGGCAGCGACACGACATCTACCACCATGTCCGCGGCGATCTTCTACCTGGTCCGCAACCCGCGCGCGATGGAGCAGCTCCGCAAGGAGATCCGCGAGAACTTCTCCTCCGTCGAGGAGATCGTCACCGGGCCCAAGCTCAACGAGCTCATCTACTTGAAGGCATGCATCGACGAGGCGTTGCGTCTGGCGCCTGCCGTCCCCGGCGCGCCCCTGCGCGAAGTCATGGAGGGCGGCGCCATGATCGATGGAGTCTTTCTGCCTGAGGATACGGACTGCGGGACCCCGACGTACTCGATCCACCGGCAACCCGAGTACTACCGCGAGCCCGAGGCCTATATCCCCGAGAGATGGATCGAGGGCGCGACATGCCAGGCCGGCAACGAGTCCTGGACGACCAGCAAGGAGGCCGTTGAGGTGGCGCGCAGGGCATTCTGCCCCTTTAGCATCGGGCCGCGGGGGTGTATCGGGAAGAGCATGGCGTTCATGGAGATGCGGATGACCATTGCGCGGTTGATGTTCCTGTTTGATTTTGAACTGGCAGATCGCAAGGGCGAGGACGAGAAGGGACAGCTGGCTCTGGTGGATCACTTCACTAGCCTCAAGTACGGGCCGAATGTCATTGTCCGGAAGAGGGTCTGACTCTGAACTCTGAAACGTGATACTCGGATGTTAATTGTAAAATTGCATGAGCTATGACAATCAAGCATTTGATCGTTATGAATATTATTGGCTTGACGATCATAACCACAGATAGTCCACACTAGTACTCCGTAGATACCCCGTACAAACAAAAGCCACGGTCGCCGCACGTGGCTTGGCCAGCGGTGCCCTGTGCTTGTTTATGCAATGTACCAATGTAACTCTAGCATACCTCTCTATACTAAGCCTAAACCGCATGCAACAGTATTATCATTCTCATCATCTATCTACATACTCGACCTACGATCTTTATGTCTTAACCAGGAATCACAGCAATGCTCATATGAGCTCATGCGTATGCCCAGCACAGAATGCCCTCCCCCCTAACAACGACCCTAATCCAATCCACCCTCCTCAACGCCCTCTCCAACATCCTCGCCCAAATAATCGCCCAGCACAAAAAAGCCGTAAGCCTTCCTCAATCTTTCTTAGTGACAATTAATAAAGAAGAAAATTGCAGGGCCCATTCACCCTCAACACCCTCGCCCTCCTCCAATTCCTCACCTACGCCGTCATCATCGTCCCCATCAACTTCTCCTGGCAGAAGTATCTGGAGGCGAGATGGCCGGGGTTTCCGGGGAGGAGGGGGCCCGTTGCTGCCACTGGTGCCGAGGCCAAGGGCGGCGCTGGTGCTGGCGCTGTTGTTGTGACGGTTGACCCGGGGGATCTGCTGCCGGTCAAGGAGAAGGAGAAGCACAACCCGCACCGGGTATCTGGAGCACGATGGCGCTGGCGCTGGCGCTCGCGCTCGCGGTCCGGGCTGGGTAATTTCCTAATGAAGTTCTTCCTTGATCAGACTGTTGGGTCGGTGATGAATATTCTCTTGTTTATTGTTTTGATTAATGTGCTCAAGGGGGTGGGGTGGAGGAGGATTGGGGAGTTGGTCCTTGAGGTACGTCTCTTTTCTTCAGTTTGGTTCTTGCAGGGGTGATTGACGACGGTAGGACTTTGGGCCGATCATGATTGCGCGGCTCAAGTATCGGCCTGTTGTGTCGGCGCTGTTGTATACGGTTGTTCCTGTGGAGAGGCGCGTGGTGTTTGGGAGTGCCTGTGGGGTTGTCTGGGGGATCTATTTAAGCCTGTATGCTGCTGTGTAGGCTTGATGATACATATCATAATAATAATAGGAGGGATGTTTTAATTCGTCTCTAGCTAGATCATATTCACACATTAAACGTTTGTCATCCTGCGCCGTGGAGGTAAACTAAGCGTCAGGTCATCTAAAGACGCCAATGACAGTCCGCCTTGCAAGAAAGTCCCGACTCCCATACCAACGCCTAATCCATTTCAGCATAAGTCAAATGCAATGCAACCTATATTCGCACGGCAATCCCAAGTCTAAGCCGGGAGTGCCTCGATCTTCTTCCCCTTCACGGAGAGCCACTGCACGGGAATCGCTCCGAATATCGAAATCGCCGACATGGCAACAGCAACGTAGAACGACTCGGTGATGGCGTTACTGTAGGCAACGAGGACTGCTGGCAGAACATCCTCGGAAACAACGTGCCGCAGCATGGTTGCACCAGTACCTGCGACTTGCGCAGCATCGACACTAGGCGCCTGGATGGCCAGATTCTTGTACAGCTGGTTCTGGAATACGTTCTGCCCCACTGAAACGAACAGCGCGCCTCCAAGAGTTTGCATGAACATCACGATGGACGTCGCACTGGGGACATCCGTGTCTTGGACCGCAGTCTGCACCACAATCATTGCTTGCTGAAGTCCGAGGCCAATCCCAATCCCAGTCAGGGCCTGGTACCCTATCCAAACAGCATGGCCGGAGTCGACCTTCAGTGTCGATAGCAGACCGGCCCCAATCGTCATAATCACAGGGGAGATCAGCATGAAGGGTGTGTAGTAGCCAATTGCAGAAACCATGACCCCAGAGAGGAGTGACATCAGAACTGTTCCAAGCAGCATGGGCAGATTCATGATACCAGATTTGGTCGCCGAGACGTCTTTGATGGCTTGGAACCAAATCGGAAGCTGTGCAACCAAAAGTCAGCCAATCTAGATCCACGGGCACAGAGTGTTCCAGTATGCACACGTACGTAGTAAACAAACAGCATGAACGCAGCCGATTCACAGAAGCTAAAAAATGCAGCACCCCAGACGTTACGGTTCTTCAATATTCGAGGAGGCACCGTAGCCATCTCCTGCGCCCATTGCTGCCGAATGATGAAGATCACGATCAGAACTCCAAACAGGATGAACAGAGCGATGATGCGGGCATTGCCCCAATTGTACTTGGTGCCTCCCCATTGCAGAGCCAGTAGCATGGAGACGATGGCGGGGAAGAAGACGAAAAGACCTGGCAGATCAAGCCGCGACAGCTGATCCTTGAGACCCGAATTATCCTTGTATGATCTTGGCGCCTTGAAAAACAGCAGGACGAAGAGCCAAGTCAAACCACCGATAGGCAAATTGATATAGAAACACCATCTCCAGGTGACATGGTCGGTAAAGGCACCACCCATCAGAGGCCCAGCCACACTGGAAATGCCATACATGCCACCCAGCACACCAGTGTAGATTGGTCGCTTCTGCAGTGGCACGGTCTGGGAGATAATCAGGATTGACCCAGTAAATAATCCAGCAGCACCCAAACCGGCTACCGCACGGCCAATGATCAGCGCGACAGAATTAGGAGCGACGCCGCATATCAAAGATCCAATCTCGAAGACGGCTATCGCACTGAGATAGACCCATTTGGTCGAGTAGAACGTGTAGAATTTGCCGTATGGAAGTATCAGAGAGCAAGTGGTCAGCATGTAGGAACTTCCATACCAACCGACATCATCCAAAGAGTTGAACTGATCCGTAATCTTGGGAATCGCCGTCGCCAGAATTGTATTGTCCTAGTGAACCCGATTGAAGTCAGTTAGTTTGTAACTCTTATCCCTTTGGAAGTAAGATGGCTCTAGAGTACGTACCAAAGACATGCAGAAAATCACAAGGCTGATACTGGTCATGACCAAGGCCAGCTTCCATGACTTCAGATATTCTGGCTCTTGTTTTTCATCCCCATGGCCCTCGCTGTATTCCATGTCCATTGCTTGGCCGTCACTGCGCCTCTCAGGAACAGGCGACTCGGGATATTCAAGCCCTGGAGAGGAATCCACCAATGTGCTCTCCTTGTCAGATGATTGTCGTCTTCCTGGCGCGTTTGGCTCGGAAGTGAGCTTTGTCTGTGAGTTATTTGGGCCAGGATCATGCTGCGAGTGGCTGTTCGCTGCGTTCTCCATGACGAGAGGGTCGGTATTGGAGTATGTCGATATCAATGCCGACAGCAACGCGGAACGACTGGAAACGAGTTGAACTTGAAAAACAGTAACTTCACAGATTCTGGATCAAAGCATCAAACCAAATTAAGGAGACAAGCTTGACCCCAGGCAAGGTTCGAATCCACGTTGATCGACTTCCGACAAGGGAGAAGGTGGTGGCGTTTTGACTGCTTGGAGAAGTAATGGACAGATATCTGACTATGTGAGCCAAAAAGGGAGACGAAATCACTCTCAGCCCGTTGCAGGATAATGGCAATGGCAAAAAGCAGGAGAGAGAGCAATGACTAAACAGGGATTGTTTGTGCAACCTGCCATTCACTGGCTGGCCAGTATTTAGGTCACAACATCCAGCACATCCAGCTACCTACCTTAATGTAGTGGCCATAGCCTTACATACATACCGGGAATTATGCTCCTTTTCCATCCGGTATGGTACGTAAGCAAGTAGACAAAGAAGACTCTGCAATCAAGGAGGAGGGATGTGCTGACGTGCTGTGAAGTATCCAACTAGTAGATGTATGTATCCATGAACTAAAAGGAATGCATTTTCCCGAAAGGGCAAACAATACCATCTTAATGCATTTCAAGTTTTCCACACCATGTCTTAAGAGTTAAGACTGATGAAAAGACTCGGATGACCAATCTTTCCTTCCCCGAGAACTCTATGAATGTTAATCCGTAGTCTAACCCGGTGATCCTTGTGCACATCGGAGTAAACAATGAAGCATTCCGAAAGTGGCTCCGTGTCTCAAGGATGGTTGCCATGAACCTCGCGTCAACGTGTAATTTCTCCCTACCTTACTTTTATCTACTATTCCAGAATGTGAACTGGATCTTCTGAGTCGGAAGTCTACAATTGCCGTGACAGGTCATCTCGAGTAGGTGCCCAGTTGTCTCCATCGGATTAGGTTCTAACAGGTACCATATGCAGATCAACCCATTCCCCAATCACCGTACACTTTAAGTCTGAGGTAATAGTCCAAAGCACAAACTAGACTAAACTCCTAATACGCATAAACATACTCTTTGCTTTTTCATCGCTGATCATCCAAGGCTACTATCCCCCTGACTCAACCTCGACCCCAAGTTGCTCACGACGTATGCATCAGCCCCCATCAGACATGATAAAGTGCACCTGCAAGAATGGAACATATTCATCTCCATACCCATCTCTTTCATCCATCTAATCGTCTATTATCTATTTCACTTCAGAGATGATAAATCAGCAAAGTGCTCTGTTCCATGATCATCCCTCGAGATCGACACCACCAAGTCCTAGTTCGCCGCCCCTTGCTTGTGGCTTACAGTCAAGGACATGATCTACCTAGTAGTGTATCTATGATTCGGCGCCACCAGACAAGGACATCAGACGAGTGTATTAGAGGCTAGACTAGATAAAGGCTCAAACTTCGGTCCAAACTGCCGTGACTATTGCAGGCCGGCTTTGTGCTTGCTTTGCCTTATCTAGATCTTGGGAGGAGCTTATTGTACATGGCGATAGACTTTAGGGGATATTAAGCCAAAGCTAATGTGCGACTTGACGAGAATGAAGATCTGGATGGAGTGGACACAGGCTGCAGTATGCGTGGCAGTATGCGTGAGGAATAAGATACATTGCAGAGGAATATCTATTTGTCATCATATGACAATAGTTCTATCCAATGCTCATGTCCTTCTTATGCATAGAGCAGTCGTGTAACAATATTCCTCTATAGCTGAAGGATTGCAGAAGCAGTGAGATCTTCTGTAGTCTTCTACGATTACTCTTCCCTGAAGAAGGCATCAGATGACCATGGCAGATGAATGATTCCTAACATGATATATCCCACACTATGGGTAGTACAACGCCGCTAAATATGATATTGATACACCTCCGGTCTCCAAGCCTAGCCTTCCAACACCAAATCAATGCAAGGATGAAGAAGTCCATGCATATGAGAGCTCAACCGCTCAATTCCCCCACCGAATGCGAACTGGGGTTTGGTCTTGGAAAGCTGGGCATACTGTACATCCTAGACCGAGCAGGCCCAACTTGCCACGGATGATGCCGCCTAAGACTGGCAGCGTGAAGAACTGTGCTTGACCAAGATCGCCAGCAGGTGCTTCGTTTCAGTCAAGTGTGGAAATATTGCAAAGACCATCGGCGGAACGCAGAATAGACAATACTTCGTTTCGGCATTAGAATTGGATTCCCTTTTTCCTTTTTTTCTTTTCTTTTCTCCAAACTTCTATTTCGACCCAGATCCAGATTCATTCCTGCTAGCGACAAGAGCAATCAGGGCAGCACCGACTCCACTGCCGTCTTTGGAGATGCCAATGCGCACCTTCTTCTCGCCAGCGGCACCCACTTCAGGGACCTCCCGCAGAGCAGCGCGAATGTGTCCCTCAAAGTTGGGGTAGAACTCCACCAAACTTCCATCCACACCGATGTCCACCATGTCATCCGTCTCCAGTTTACCGGTGGAGATGAGGATAGCAGCAAGTGGCACAGCACTGAGGCGGGCAGCACGCTTGCCAATCGCATGCACCAGGATTTTGACGGCCTGGCAGTCGGCGGCGCTAGGGTTCTCGATCTTCAGGTGATCCTTCAGAGCTACCTTGACTTCCTCCATCCTATCGGTCTTGTCGGCTTCCACCAAGCTGAGGAAGCTGGTGTCGACGCCCCACTGCCTGTACAGGGGCGAGTTTTCCGGAGTGACAACTTTCGAGGATTGATTTGACTTGAACAGACCAAAGGCCTCGTCCTTGTGCAGATCAAGAAGAGCCCGGCGCAGGATCTCACCCAGGAACATACCCGAGACACGTTTTTCAAACATCTGGATGCCCGGGTTGTTGCTGTCTTCATCCAACTCCTTGTCCCATTTCGTGTTGGGCAGGACACTGAGGTGGTTATCAAAGCTGCCCCACTCGGCATTGACGATCATCTCTCCAGTTGATTTCTCGTAATCCGAATGTTCAATGGTCCGCAGCTTGGTGATCCGGTCGAGCTTCTCGACATAGGCACCATTGGTGCCAGTGCCAAAGATGGCGCCAATGAAAGTTGAAGTATCACCAGGAGAGGTGTAGGAACGAGCCATCAGGGTTCCCACGGTATCGTTGACAAGAGCGGCCACGCGAACGGGAAGATTCAGCTCATCAATGGCGTTTTGCAGGAGTGCGCAGACATCGTGACCAACGGCGTCGGGGATGTTGAAGCCCTTCGTCCAGCGAATGAGGGTGCCTTTGTTGATCCCCAACTGGCGCACAGGGAAACTGAAGGTGAAGCCCAGGTCGAAGAGGTCCTCTTCATGATTTGGCTCACGACGACGTCTCAGATGAGCCTCGAAGTGTTCGTTATGATGGATTCGCAGAAACGCCTCAATCTGGCGAGCTAGGAACAGGAAAAGATCCTTGGAAGTACCAGAAGCCATCAGTTCGCGAGGGATCATGATCTTCGACTGTGTGAGGTCGAATGTGGTGTCTCCGTGAAGATCGATTGAGCACACCCGGAAGTTGGTGCCTCCAAGATCAACAGCAAGGTACAAGCCCTGTCAAACATCTTCTAGTCAGTCACTTGCCGGGTTTTTTCGGTGGTTTTGACGAGAGACAAAAGTACCTTCTCAGTACCGTTCGGTACGGAAGTGACATAGGTAGGAATCTGGCTGAGTGTCGTGTGCTCCTTGGTGAGCCCCTCGCACATCTCTCTGATATACTCTTTGACACCGTTCTGGACCTGCTCGGCGGAATAGTCAAACTGGCGCGCAATGCGCGTAGCTTCGGTCACTAGAGGCGACGACATGGCGTATCAGATCGGAAAGGGCTCTACCGGGGAATCGAGATCGGGGAGGAAAAGGAACGGGAAGAAAGGATGTGGAGAGAAAGTAAGAATTGAGGATGGAGCGAGATGACGAGAAACTATGGAGCACGGAGAGGGAGGGCAAGAGCAATAAGGTAATGTAATAATAATATGAAATCCAAGAAGACGACGAGGGTAACAAGAGGTAATAATACTAATTTCGACCAAAGGTGCCAAGGTGGAGGGGAGGAGGGGTCGATGAGGTCAGTGATCCTGGAGACCTTAATCCCAGCAATTTTGGTCTTGTCATTGTTGGCACCGGCCGATAATCATAACGGGAATAGTACCGGGTTCTCCGGCATAGGGTACTTGAATTACTACCTATTGTTATCCACTACTACAGACGACGACCAACCGAAGCAGACGGTACAGTAGTATTACTGTCTGGTAGTAGGATCGTGCTCTGTCTGTCCGTCAACGGCTTGCCGGCCACGCCGTCATCGTGTTTTGGTAGGGACCTAGTTATTAGACTGGTTCAATGGTTTTAAAGCTAAGACTGACAGGAACTAAATAACCAGTGCTAACTCAGATAGGCAGACACGCATGACTGAAGGATCTGGTTGCTCATCCAATAATGATCTTTCCTTTTGAGTCTCTGCTAACATTTCTAGTTCATGATGACTTTCAAGCTTCAACACTTCAACAGAGTCTTCATACCAGAAGGGAAACAATATCTCCAGAATTCTTCGTAATGTTTCTGTAGCGCGCTTCAATTTCTCTGACGCCATGAAACACTTGTGGGGGTATTGCTACACTTACCGGTGAGAAACAATGGTTAGGACCGCAACTGAAGAACCTGGAGGAATAAACCAGAAATGCATGGTACCTGAATATGCATATAATGGGAGAAGGGTACCTGGTCCTTGTTCATTCGCTGCCGTCTGTCATACTACGGAGTAGGTATCCTGCATATCGACGAATCCTTCCTGTCGAATATGGAGTTGACGCGGAGAGCTGGAGACCCCTCGTTGATCTCGAGAGTGGCCAGTTGACCTCGTGCCTGCGGGGTAACATTCCATCACGAACTCTTTTATATTGACTGTAGGCTGTAGGCTGTAGGCTGTAGATGTACTGATGGAGAATCTCATTCCTGATAAACTGTTTCATCTCGTTAGGCACTCGTACA